GAAGAAATCAAAGTAGTGCCAAACAACCAAAATAAAATAATGCCACCACATTAGAACTGTAAAACTCAATCTAATGTATTTTTAAAGTTTCACAATTATGAAAACACTTTGTAAGAACAATAGTTCTAAAATAAATTTTCATTATATTTACCTGTTATGTTTCCTGACATATCTTTATTATGACAGGTAAAGTCTTCAGTTTCTCCATCTTTAACATTGCTTATTTCTCCATAGTAAAGAGCAATCCCAAGTTGCATTATACGGATAAACATAGGCAGTTGTTGATCTGTGATAGAAAGTTTCAAACTCTCTACTAAGGTGTGAATCTGTATTTTGAAAAAATAAAAACACCAACAAAATCATTTTCAAAGGGCATATCTTTTAGCATAGGGAGAGAAACGTTAAATCTTAATTGGAATAGAACAAGAGAAATAGTAATGTCCCAAACATTCTAACATTAAAGCCAAAACAACAGTTTATTCTAAAATCTTAGGAATTAAACAAATTTTGCTCCGATCAATAAACTTTAGATAGAAACTATATTAAGCCAAATGATGTAAATACAAATAGAAATAATAAAAAGATATAATCACACTAGATTTTCAGAAAGAAAGTTATGTAACCAAAATACAGCAGTACCCACTTATCTGCGGGAGATAATTCCAAGACCCCTAGAGTATGCCTGAAATTCCAGTTAGTACCGAACCCTATATATCCTATGCTTTCTCCTAAACATACGTATCTTTTCCTTAAAGGAAGCACTTGAAGGCTTCTTTTTGGCCTATCCAAATTGCCAGCATCACTACTCTTGCAGTTAAGAGCCATTAGCAAATAAAATAAGGGTTACTTGAACAAAAGCACTGCAATACCACGATAGTGGATCTGACCACCAAGAGGGCTACTTAGTGACTAACGGGCAGGAAGCATATACAGCATGGATGTGCCGGACAAAGAGATGATGCACATCCAGGCAGGATGGAGCAGGATGGAGTGAGATTTCATCTCACTACTCGAAACGGTGCACAACTTAAAACATGAATTGTTCGCCACCCCAAGTCAAGTCTCCTTCCATCACCTTTTATTCCCCATTTACCCCTCTCCCTCTTCCCCTCACAACCCCTCCCCACACCCCCACTTCCATCGCTCTGGTAATCACCATACTATTGTATGCCAAAGAGAGGTTATATTTTCATTAAAACCTATAAAATTTCATTAACCAATGTCACCCCAATAAATTCAATTAAAAGGTTTAAAAAACAACTTATGAATTGTTTATATCTAGAATTTCCCATTTAATGTTTTTGGATCATAGTTGATTGAGGGTAACTGAAACCATGGAAAGCAAAACTGTAGATAAGGGAGGATTACTGCACCCACTCTATAATGCTAAGAATATGGTAGTACTGCCTCCCCTTCAAAAAAAACAAAGACCTCTGTCACAACCAAGAATAAAAGTTTCATGATATCATTTTAGTAAAATTTTAATCACTCTTTCCAGCTATATTAACCAAAAAGAATACACACACATCCTAAAAACATGTTAGGAGAGAAAATTACTAACACTATGGAAATATGAACATAATAAAATCCTGATAGCCAAATATGAAAAAACAAGGGAAATACATGTTTGGGAAATTTTTTCAAACAAGTTTTAAATAATAGATTTAAACATGACAAAATTTATAACATGAATCAATTATAAGTATTAAGTTTAATTACTAGGAAATAGGATATATAGAAGTCAATCAAAGTTCTCCTCATAGAAAGAGACATCAATGGAATCTAAACACAGCCTCAGTATAATGGTTTCCTGCTGTTATATAAACATGGAATAGAACCAATTAAGCCATAAAGTCAAGTTTCTTGGTTTATTTTGACTCACTGGTATTTGAGTGTGTATGAAACATGAAAAAGAAATAATGGTAATCATTATATTTTTAGAACTAAAGACAAAAAATTTGTGCTTGAAGGTGAAGAAAGCTGTATTGGGGGGAGGGGTATAAATGCCATATTCAACTAAGAATACAGATTTCTTAAAACTGGCCTTAAAATCATACACTGAACAGACCGTGAAGAAGTAAGAAAATGGTGAGGAGGGAAAGAAGGGGAGAAGTGTGCAGGACAGACCTGTCAACCTCTTCTTCATTTAAGATTTCTCTTCCACATCCTTTGATTTTGTTTAAATGTTTTAAAAATAAAATTTTTACTTTAAAATAGTTGTAAACTTCTAAAAACATTGCAAAGGTCATAGAGAGAGATCTCAGATATTCCTCATCCAGTTCCCTATTGTTAACATTCTGTCACCACGTGGTACTTTGTCACAACTAAGAAATGAACATTGGTATATTACTGTCAACTACACTCCATGCTTTATTCTGATTTCATTAGTTTTCCCACTAATGTCTGATCTCTCTTCCAAGATTCCACCCAGGAAGCCACCTTGCATTTAGCTGTCATGTTTCTTTAGTTTCCTCTGGTCTGTGACAGGTTATCAGACTTTTCTAGTTTGTCAATGACCTTGACAGTTTTGAGGTATACTAGTCAGGTATTTTGTTGAATGTCCCTCAATTTGGGTCTATCTAATAATTTTAATTTTCAAACCAATTATATTGATTTTAGAGAAAGGAGAGAGACACACACACACTACAGAGAGAAAGAGAGAGAGAGAGACATCACAATGTGAGAGGGGAAATATCGAATGGCTGGCTCCCACACTTAACCCTGACGAGGGATCAAACCCAAAACCTGGGTAGTGCCCTGACCAGGAATCAAACCCACAACCTTTCGGTGTACGGGACAATTATATAATTTACTAGAGGCTTGGTGCACAAAATTCATGCACTCGGGGGGGTGGGGGGGGGGAGTGATCCTCAGCCCAGCCTGCACCCTCTCGCTGTCCGAGAGTCCTCAGGGGATGTCTGACTGCCTCGGAGGCAGGAGAGGCGCCCACCACCACCACTGTGCTCGCCAGCTGTGAGCCCGGCTTCTGGCTGAGTGGCGCTCCCCCTGTGGGAGCACACTGATCACCAGGGGGGAGCTCCTGCAATGAGCATCTGCCCCCTGGTGGTCAGTGTGCATCATAGCAACCAGTCATGCTGCGGTTCGTTTGATTTGCATATTAGCCTTTTATTATATAGAATAGGAAGTGACCACTCCATCCCACCCCCAATAATTCAAGTACCACCTGGCACCATACAGAGTTACTACAATAGCATTGACTATATTCCCTATGCCAGCGGTTCTCAACCTGTGGGTTGCGACCCCTTTGGGGGTCAAATGACCCTTTCACAGGGGTCGCCTAAGACCATTGGAAAACACATATATAATTACATATTGTTTTGTGATTAATCACTATGCTTTAATTATGTTCAATTTGTAACAATGAAAATACATCCTGCATATCAGATATTTACATTACGATTCATAACAGTAGCAAAATTACAGTTATGAAGTAGCAATGAAAATAATTTTATCATTGGGGGTCACCACAACATGAGGAACTGTATTAAAGGGTCACGGCATTAGGAAGGTTGAGAACCCACTGCCCTATGCTAAACTTTCCCTATGACTATTTTGTAACTACTTCTAAATCCCTTCATCTGGCATCCCCTACCCCCCCAACCCCCGCCCCCCCCCCCCTGGCCAACCATCAGCTTGTTCTCCTCACCTATGAACCCGTTTCAATTTTGTTTGGTCATTTATTTTGTTCTTTAGATTCCCCATTGGGTAAAAACAAAAGGGATTTGTCTTTTTCTATCTGACTTAATTCACTTAGCATAATACCCCCCATGTTATCACAAATGATAGTAAGATTTCAATTTTTTTATGGCCTGAGAAAAATTCCATTTGGATACATGCACGACTTTTTTTATCTATTCATCTACTGATCAAAACTTAGTTGCTCCCATAGCTTGGCTATTGTAAATAACTCTGCAATGAACATAGGGGTGCATATATAATTTCAAATTAGTGTTTTGGGTTTCTTCAGAAAAATACCCAGAAGTGGAATTGCTAGGTCATAGGCAGTTCCCTTTTTAATTTTCACCACATCCTTTTAAATATTGTATGGCAACAGTGATAAACAATCTTAGCAAAATCAATGACAAAAAAAATCAACCTTTTAGATAGATAAATAGATAGATAGATAGATAGATAGACAGACAGATAGATAGATAGATAGAGGTATCTATCTATAATATATATATACATATACATATAGGGTGAGACAAAAGTAGGTTTACAGTAGTTCGTATGGAATATACAATAATTAATAATATAGGAATAAACTGTTTCACGTACTCACAACTGTAAACCTACTTTTGCCCCACCCTGCATATTTAAAATATGTATCTCTAAATATATATTTTGTATATTTTTATATGATATATATCCTAAAATCAATAAGATTAATCGCCAGTAGAAAAATAGACAAAAAAATCTAAATGGATTTTTCAAAAAACAAATTATAAGTGAACATATTCTCAATAAATGTAACTTAACTAATTAATAATTAATTTGATTAATTAAATAATCAAATAAATAATTTAAAAATATGTATTTTTTGCTCAATAAATTGGCAAGTTTTAAACATAAGCATACTTAAAGATCACAAGTGTGTAATATAAGCACTCACTTAAATGTTCATGAGCATTTATGCTGGTAAAACCGTTCTGGAAACAATTTTATAATATAGATCACAGGTCTTAAAAAAGTTTAAGCCCCTCAATATGATATTTGCAATTACAGAAATCATTCCTAAGAAATTAATCAGATATGTGTTCAAAGCTTTATGTGGAAACTTTTATTCCTCTGAAAAACAACTAAAAAATGTAAATTTTCAAAAATGGGGGAAATGTTAAATTAATTATGTACCCTTATAAAATTTCTCTCTCAAAAGATAGAAAAATCATTAAAAACCTACCCAAAATATAAATAAACTAAAAAAACACTTAAACAAACATACATGAGAGATTTTCACAAATAATTAGGGTATCTGGAACATTTTGGGAAATCCCTCTTTGAGGTGATCAATGAGGTTCAACCACGTCCATATTTCTTAGGACTAGAAGTCGGAGGACTGACGGGTCTAATTCAAAATGGTAAATCTGACATCACAACATGTAGTACTAATAAAAAAAAAACTCAAATTTTTATTTCAGTTGAGCATAATATGTTATCTTATATTTAGTGATTACCAGAGTCAAAAAACACATACACCAGTACTGGTATCAACAAGCTTATTTATATTAAGGAGTGTTGTATAATAAAATGTCAATTTTGAGAACACAAACTTACTTAAATTCCAATACTAATTTTCCTCAAGTTCATTTATTTTTACTTTCCTCTAATTTAGCTACATCCTAGAACATACAATTAAATTTGTACTAATGATCAATAAGATAATTTTATATAGTAAGGCTTCCATGTATCCATTACTTATTTGCAAAATATATCTTGGATCCACCTTAACATTCTCCAACTTTACTAGCAGGTTCAAGACTAAAGATGGAAAGTAAGCCCATTATCTTGAGACAGAAGTAACAATACTACTGAATTAATATTCTTCCATGGTTATCTTTGCTAAAGAAGCTAATTCAAAAATAGAATGGATATGTAACAGAATTTAAACAAACCACTATACACATTGGGGGCGAGGGGGAACACTCATGACTGAGCACTACCAAAGAAAATCAGGTGGATTTCATGTATAAATTTAAGTATCAGAGAGCTACATAAAATCAAAAGTTTTATATGTCTTTCTATTGTAAAAACAATACTTCATGCAGCCATACTCGAACAAGCACAGTAGTCAATACCTGTGTTCAGACTTAGGGCTCACTTTTCCATTACAAAATTTTAGTATTCAGAGGCATGTAATTCAATAATAAAAATTCATTTCACATGAAAACTTCGTTATCAAGATCACAAGTCACTTTGGGAATTCTTTTTCAAAGATACATTAGTAGATGGAGGTTTAGAAAACAGTTATGCAATCAAAGAATAAAAGATTTACAGTTGACACTATACACATTGATAATCATACCAATTTCTTGGAGAACAACAAATTTTCATATGTATCAAAAGACTTTACCTGAAAAATTCCCATACTCTGAGATTTTAATTACATTTGAAACCAAAAGTCAAAAGCTAATATTTCCTGAACCAATAAGATATCAGGTTAGCAAATCAAGCCTTAGAAATTTATGGAAGAAAAAGAAGAGAGAATAACTACAGCCATCCGGCCATACTAAACAAATTATAAGAATTTAAATACAGACTGATAATCAGTCCATTGTGGGCATCAAAATACTTTTTTATATGATCTCCTCTAACTACTTGAAGAAAAAAAACACTAATAAACAGCTGGACAAACTAAAAAGGAAACTAAAGTCACACATACACACACACAAAAAAAAAATAGGTCCCCAAGTATCTCTGCTAGAACACATAATGCAAAATGTTATAAACATAATATAGTAAATAATATAAAATAGAACTTATAAATATAACTAAAACTTTTATATAAAAACAAATGGCATAAAAATAAATGGCATATACATTTATGAGGTTAATTTCTTCTTTGTTTTTTTAATAATAATTAGCATGCACAGGAGCCAATAAACAAAATAGAGACATACAAATCAACTACCAGAAAAAGAAACACCTACTTTAATAACAGACGGCATCTTGGAATTTAGGTTATCATAAGTAAAATGCAGACGAGTTCTGAAGGAACATTTATATAATAAAGGGTCCTGGTAAAACTCTATTTTGCCACTAGCATTCCGTTTATCAAGACAAACTGTACAATCTGAAAAGTTGATAACTTTTCTCAGCACCAGATCAGTGGCTAAAAAAGAAAAGAAAAACATTTTAAGTAAAATAAAAAGTTACAGAAAAAAGGCAACTATTATTTATCAGTACAAGTAGTAATGCAAATAAGATTAATAGAGCATTAAATATATGTTGCCAGAACCTATGCAAAGAACATCTCATTCATTATATCATTTAAATCCTCCAACAACTTTATAAAACAGGCACAAAAATCCTCATTTTCTGTATAAAGAATTAAATAGAGACCAAAGAAATGAAGTAGCTTATCCCCAATTTGCTTGACACCTAACCTACAAATTTAAGACAAAAATTGTGGAAAATTTCATTATATTTTGCTATCTGCAATAAGATATTAAATAATCTATAATAATAAAAGCGTAATATACTAATTAGACCGGACAACCTTCCGGACGAAGCCGGGCTGCAAGGGAAGCCCAGGTCCCAGATGCCAGAGGGAAGCCAGTGCCAGCAGCTGGGTGAAGAAAGGCCTACTCTTGCACGAATTTCGTGCATTGGGCCTCTAGTAACAAAATAAAATACCTGAGAAACCATTTAGTAGTAGTCATTCATTTAATATTTATTTTACACTAAAAAACTTGAAGCTACGATTTAAACCTGCACTCTCCAATATGGTAGGAACCACTGATACATGGCTATTTAAATTTATACATGAATTAATTATAATTATATGAAAATAAAATTTCAGGTCCTTGGTTGCACTAGCCACATTTCAAGTGCTCAATAGAAACATGTGGCTATTGGCTACAATACTGGATCATGAAGATATAAAATATATCCATCATCATGAAAATTATGGACTAGCACTGCTCTAGATAATAACTAATGAAGAAATTACCAATAACAGTACCAAGGTTTTATTCAAGGCAATAAAAATGAAACAATTACTGGTAAAATACCAAACTAGAAAATGAAACCTTTAGCAAATCAGTGTTTTTATTCCTAATAAGCAATTCCTAGGTAAATATCTGGCCCAAGTCTACTTGGTCAGTGATTTTAAGTTAGCTACTCCATGCTATGGCCATGGGAATGTTCAAAACAATAAAATATGCCTTAATTTAAAATATGTATGCTTTAGTGCATTATTTGATAACACTATTTTTGAGTATACCCTGACAACCTCTAATTAATTCAACCTTTAATTCCCTTATCTTTTTTTGGATTTAACTTTTTAAGAAGGAAAAACTAAAGAGTATGCACATGTGTGGAAACAGTAAAGTTTTATTAGCAAATAAATTTCAAATTTGTCTTTTAAAAAAATACACAAACGTACCATATATTTCATTTTACATAGTATATTATTAAATTACTTTGTTACTAATATTATATACAGAAACCAAAGACTGGGTTGGGCCTTTGTATACACTCTTCTTTATGCTTCACAACAGAGCTGTGAGATCAGGATTAGTCTTGATTTTTAAAATGTGAAAACTAAAGCTTGGAGAACACACAAAAATGAAACTGTACTCCAATTCTGCTCATTGTTAGTTGTATGCCTTAACTAGGCAAGTCAAATAATCTTGAGACTCAATTTCATGTTCCTATCCTTTAACTAGGACTTAAGATGAGCAAATGAATATATGACTAAATGAGTAAGAAAGTGTTACAATAGACAGTCAGGGAGTCCTCCCCAATGGCCCACACGGCACAGGGGTAGGTTCTTACACTGGGTGTGCCAAGAGCTAAAAAGATGAGTGGGTAGAGCCTGAGCAGTTAAAAGCTAGAAAGAGGGCGAGCACATCAAAAGCTAGAAAGATGACTGAACAGAACCCAAGAGTGCCAAAAGTTAAAATGCACAGGGCCCAGCACGCCAAAAGTTAGCAAGATAATTGAATAGAAAAAAAGCCCTCCCCTCCCTAACCCCAAGAGATGGTCTTTGAGACAGGAGTCCACCATTCGCCAGGTCCCAGCACCCAAATAAACCTCTTCCCTAGTGGCAGGCAGCCAAACCTGCGTTTCAGTGACAAAAGGATATCATTACTTTACGGAGCTGTTATAAGAATGAGAGAAAATAAATGTAAATAATAGCAGCTCCCTTTCTGAGCAATTACGTACAGGAAACTTTTATAAGTTCTTTCAGTGCATTCATGTATTTAATAAAATAATTCTATAAAGAAGCTTTTTTTTATCTTCATTTTACAAATGACAAAACTGAAAAACAGAAGTAAACTAAATCATCCAAGGTCATACATCTAGCACTAAGTGGGAGAGCCAGGATTCAAATGCAGGCAGCCTAACTTTAGTGCCAGCACTTTTGTTTTTTTTATTTTTTGTAAATTTTCTTTTTTTCTAATGTAGAGTCATTTTCACAGTGTTACTAAAGCATAATTCCTATTGAAATATACTGCTGATATATACAGTATACAATTTCATAGTTTTGGGGTTTTGGTACTTTTTAATTGAATTTATTGGTTCACAAAACCAAACAGATTTCAAGTGTACAACTCAACAAAACATCTTCTGCACTGTGCATCGTATGCCCATGGCCCTGAACAAAACCTCTTTCCATCCTGATTTTCTCCCCTTTTGCTCACCTCTAGCTACTCCTACACCCCTTTCCCTCGGGCTATCACCACACTGTTGTCAGTCCCTAAGTATTATGTATATATGTTGTTTTTGCTTAATCCCTTCGCCTTTCATCCAGACCCTCAAAGTCCTTCCCCTCTGACAGCTGTCAGTCTGTTCTCTATGAGCCTGTTTCTATTTTGTTCATCAGTTTATTTTGTTCATCAAATTCCACATATAAGTAAAATCATATGGTATTTGTCTTTCTCTGACTGGCTTATTTCACTTAACATAATTTCCAGATCCTTCCATGCTGTCACAAAAGGCAAGATTTCCTTTTTATTATGGCCAAATAGTATTCCATTGTGTAAATGGACCACAGCTTTTTTATCCACTCATCTACTAATGGGCACTTGAGCTGTTTCCAGATCTTAGCTATTGTAAATAACACTACAATGCACATAAGGGTGCATTTTTTAAAATATTTTTATTGAATGCAAAGAGGAAGGGAGTAGAGAGATAGAAACATCGATGAGAGAGGCACATGAATCAGCTGCCTGCTGCACACCCTCTACTGGGGATCTAGCCTACAATTCGGGCATGTGCCCTCACTTAGTCTCCATGGGACGGTGCTCAATCCACTGAGCTACACCAGCAGGGTGAGGGTGCATATATTTTTTCAAATTAGTGTTTCGGGTTTCTTGGGATATATTCCCAGAAGTGGGATTACTGGGTCAAATTTTTTAATTCTATTTAAAAATGTTTAATTTTTTGAGGAAACACCATACTGTTTTCCACAGTAGCTGCACCCGTCTGCATTCCCATCAACAGTGCACAAGGGTTCCCTTTTCTCTACATCCTTGCCAGCACTCTGTTAATTTCCTGATGATAGCAATTCTGACAGTTGTGAGGTGATACCTCATTGTTGGTTAACCGCTTTTCAGATGTATCATTGGCAAATATGTTCTCCCATTCATTCAGTGGGCTCACTTCACATTTTGTTGATGGTTTCTTTTACTCTGCACAAAGTTTTTTAGATTGATGTAGTCCCATTTGTCTATTGGTTCCTTTATTTGCCTTGCCCAAGGAACTAAATCTCAAAAATATTGCTAAGAGAAATGTCTGACATGTTACTGCCTATGTTTTCTTCTAGTATGTTTATGGTTTTGCAACTTACATGTAAGCCTTTAATCCATTTTGAGTTTATTCTTGTGTATTAGTGCCAGCACTTTTAGGAAATACATATCATGGCAAGTTACAGATAAAAGGAGCTCACAATAGTCTCCTTAAAATATTTTCCAAAAATATACATTTCTTACTCTAACAGAACATATATCATTTATCAACAAATGTTAATTAACATCTCTCCTGATAAAACTAATAAGCAGTGTCTATTTTCTTCACAACTATAGTTTTGATGTTAATACAGTGCCTAGCATATAGAATATAATAAAATAGTAATAAATAAATGGTAGTGATTAAAATTGTATTATTACTTAGATATTTTAAGATAAGCAGGAGAGTGAATTATGTTAATAGTTAAAGGAGGTTTCAGGAGTATCCAAAAATCCCGTATGTACTCTAGAATATAGAAACCTAAAACATAAATCAGTCAGATATATTGTTTGCCATTACCAAGTAATGTGAAAGCAACATACTCTTTCCTCCTTCAAAAACATTAAAAATTTTAACTTAATATTATTCAGTTTTTATTGCTATAGCCCACAGCATTGTAAAATATCATACATCACCTTTGAAATAAGCATGTTATAGCTAAGAAAAAAATAAAAATTAAAAATATTATTTAAAAGTCTGGGATTTCTGACCTAGCTGGTTTGGGACAGTGGATAGAGCATCGGCCTGTGGACTGAAAGGTCCCAGGTTCGATTCCGGCCAAGGGCATATGCCTGGCTTGTGGGCTCGATCCCCAGTAGGGGGCATGCAGGAGGCAGCCAATCAATGATTCTATTCTCATCATTGATGTTTATATCTCTCTTTCCCTCTCCCTTCCTCTCTGAAATAAATATTTAAAAAAAAAAAAAAGTCTGGGATTTCTTAATCTAAGGTTCTATTAACCTCCTGTAACTGCATGCTAGATTTTACATATGTACGTTTTCCCAGTCTGAAGGCCTACAGTTTTCATTAGATTCATCTAAGAGCCAATTGGCCCAAGAAAGCTTTAGAATCCAAAAAAATGGTTTCAATAAAGGAGAATCTATAATATTCTTGATAGTATTTACTCACCAGAAATATCCATGAATGCACGATCCCATAATTCACCTACAGTATAGCATTCTGCAGAAGTTATGTTGACTGAAAGAACAATATCATCTTCAACATATTTCAGTATGAGATTATTTATAACAATGTTTACATTATTTACAACTCGTCTAATCAGACTCTGTACATAACCTACAATACAGGAAAAAAAGAATGCAATTAGCCACAAGTCAGTCAATAAATAATTATTTCTTAAAATATTATTGAGCATAATGTACATAAAAGGTGGGTAAGCTCAACATATTTTGCAAAGAAGAAACTAACACTTAGATAAGTAAACAGGTTTATCAAAGTAACACAGCTAATAAGCAGAAGATTCAGCCAAACAAACACTATTACAGAGAAGTTCTATATAATAAAGTATTCATATGCTAAGAAAAACCACATTTACTGGAAACCTTTTAATCCCTTCCTACCCTTCCCTCTGAGAATCTTCAGTCTGTTGCATGCTTCCATCCATGTCTCTGGATCTATTTTGTCAGTTTATTTTGTTCATTAGATTCCACAAAAAGTGAGATCATGGGATATTTGTCTTTCTCTGACAGGCTTATTTCACTTAACATAATGCTCTCCCAAGTCCCTCCATGTTGTCTCAAAGGGTAAGAGATCCTTCTTTTTTACAGCTGCATAGTATTCCATTGTGTAAATGTAATACAGTTTTTTTATGCACTCATCTACTGATGGACCCTTGGGCTGTTTCCAAATCTTAGCTATTGTAAATAACGCTGCTATGAACATAGGGGTGAATATATTCTTTCTGGTTTGTGTTTCAATGATAGAACACTCACTACAGATGGATTTTTCATCCATTTTTAAATATTTTTCCTCAGTTTCCCATAATACTGATAAAGTTGAGATGAATAAGGCAATTCATCAAAATAAAAGAACCCAATATCTAAAAAGAACTACATCTACAGAAGACTATTTATGTTTCCTTATTAAAAATGCAAGGTCGACACATATGTAATACCCTTTGTAATGCTTTAAGCAATAAAAAAAAAAATGCAAGGTCAAAGTAACAGTGACTGTACAATGGAATTAATGACACACCACGTCAAATAACTTAGTTCTAAGAAAGCTACAATAATCCGAGTTCCTAGCTTAGAAGTAGTATCACTTTACAGAGATATAAAGTATAGAGAATACTGAGGAAAGAAGCATAAATGAATAAATAAATGATATAACCTTAAAATGTGTCTCTAAATACGAATTGTCAGCATATCTTACAGGATATGCTAAGTTCAAAACTCAAAACTGTTATTATTAGTAATAACTCAAGGTCTTGGCTTATATATTATTAACTGAAAGGAAACTGTATGCTTCAAACCAGTCAGATTCAAACTCTTCTGACCCCTCTCACAGTAAGAAATATTACATCATTACTCAGCACAAGCGCACACATACGCAAAAGTTACTTGAAATATTACTACCCTGTACTGCATGATATACGCTACCAGGTTTTCTATTCTATGCCACATATTCTTTAAATTCACACCATGACCCACTAAATGTTTTCATAATACACTAATTGGTCAGGAATCATAATCTGAAAAAGACTGTTCTAGATATCAAGAATAGAGCTTGCAGAGAAAAGATTATATATTGACTCATAGTCTTTTCCTATTAGAAAGTCACTCAACCTTCAGGGGTGTAAAACAACTATTGGCAACACCAAAACATTTTTCAATAAGCATCTCTGGATTAATGTAAATGTTCAAACTCTAAAATAGTAAACACAGATACTGAAAAAAATAACTTTGCTCTAGAAAATTCTGAGAGCAAGAATTCACCTCTTGATGAAAGAAAATTAATGAAAGAAAATTAATATAGTTCCTGGGCAGTATAAGGTTACCAGAAATGAGTCCTCAAATAACCATATGACTTAACCTTGAAATAAAATGATTTACCATTATCCAACTGGATTCTCAAATCATCCCTTTTTTTCCCTTTCGCAAGATTAAGTTTAGCTGCTGTGCCTCCCAGTAATTGCCCAACAAGTTCAGTTACTTCCTAGAGCAACTCGTTAACTGTGACTTATGTCAGCATAAAAGAGGATATGAGTCCTTCTATTAGGTAATGCAGAAAAGCACACGTTAATCCAAAAGCTACCTCAAGTAGTTCAGGTAGAACACAGCTCTGCTTTATACCACTAAAAATGGGATGTTTTATGTTACATTTATGTTTTTATGTTTTATGCTCCTAAAATAGACCACTTCTCCCAATTCTGGATATCAGTATAAATTCTAATACTGACTCTAAAAAAAATCACTAAAAATCTGGCACCTATTTTGAGTACATGCAAGTTAGCCCATAGAAGGCTGTTATCTGTGAAATTCACAACTGACAAAAGTTTTAAATTTTTCTTAAGTCATTTCTTAGAAGAAGAAAAATGTGCCTTGGCGGTTATCTCAATGGTTAGACCAATGGCCCTTGTAACAGAGGGCTGCAGGTTCAATTCCCAGTCAAGGGCACATACCTGGGCTGCAGGTTTGATACCCACCTCCAGTGGGCGGGGGGGGGGGGGGGGACACGGGGCGGGGGAGGAGTATGGAAGGCAACCAATTGATGTGTCTCTCTCACATCTCTCCCCCCCTTCCACTCTCTCTAAAAATCAATAAAAAAAATATCCTCAGGTGAGGAGAAAAACGAAAGGGAAAGGGGAAGGGGAAGGGGAAGGGGAAGGGGAAGGGGAAAGCGGAAGGGGAAGGGGAACGGGGAAAGGGGAAGGGGAAGGGGAAGGGGGAAGGGGGAAGGGGAAGGGGAAAGGGGAAGGGGAAAGGGGAAAGGGGAAAGGGGAAAGGAAAAACGGGGAAGGGGCAAAGAAAAGGTGAAAGGGAAAGGAATAAGACTCAAATGTTAAACCTAAAGCTCATTATTCTTTGCCAGGATTATTCTTTGCATATTATAAAATGAGCTGGTAGAATAAGTTTGGGGGTATATGTAATTAGAAATTTGGAGGGGTAAAAAGGTTGCCCAATTAATAAATAAGAACAAGCTACAGTTTAATTTAATTCGCAGGTTAATTTAAAACACCAGGAGTTTTTCCCAAGGAGTTAATTAGCAAGAAAAAATTTAGAAAGCTCCAAAACCACCACACTACTCTAAGTAGAATTAGAAATGTTCAGTAATAAAATATCTTCTGGCACCTTCTCCAACTATAGCAATTAATCTATTCTACAGTCAGAGATTACTGAGGCCTTTTAGGTACAGAGTTCTAAAGAATACAGAGCATCAGTGTTAACATCACTATAACACTAGTTTAAAATGTTCAATTCAAATGTAACTTAGAACATACATTTGAGGGAGGAGGGCTATGAAATTGTATACCTAATACCAGCCTCTTAGAGGTAAAGCACATGGTGCCAGAAGACTGACAAAAATTAACTAGGTTAAAACCAGCAGAAAGCCTTCAAACCTTTGGCACAGAGAGCAAGTGTATACCAATGTCACCTACATCTCAGAAAATAGAAGTGACTGATAAATAAAATAAAAAAGAAGTAACTAATAAACAATTCCTAACTGTAAAAAGACAGCAATGCTTTGGCCACAGAACTAACATGTAATGATCATTGTTTTTTTTCTTCATTAAATATTTATCAAGGAACTTTTATAAGTCACTACTGTTCCAGGTAAATAAAATTTTCAGAAAATAGAACAAATGATCTCTCCCAATTAAAAAACTCTGTGTCTCTGTTACTGAATTTTATAGTTTCTAGAAACTCCAAACAATCTAGTGTCTTTCCTCTGTTTATCAAGAAGCCAGGGGGACAAAAATACTATGTGTGGGAAATCAGAGGCAAGTTTTTTCAAGGAGAGGACATAAAAAAGAAACGTAAGGAACAACCTACTGCAAAAGAGATTCAAAGTTTGAATGAAAGACATTCCTGAGGGCTCTGGACTCAACCTGTTCTAAATTCATGCAACAAATGCACATGCACATACAGTCTAAATATTTCATAGCACTAAAGAATACCGAAAGTGTGAATTCTACAAAGGGTTACAACAATTAATAATAATTGAAATGTTGGCTTTGTCAAGCCCATGAGAAGTTACCTGGTGGCAAATCAGGATCTGTGGGAGCAGCCTGCTGAATTCTTCGAGGTTTCACTGATGATTTTGTATTCTCAGTAGTACTAGGGTTGGTAGAATTAGAACCACAGCTTTCATGGTCATCCTATATTGATTTTAAAGAAAGCAGCAAGTAAGACCTCCTTTAGAAAACAAAAATTCTTATTTGATACCATACTAAGAAAATGATCTATAATAATAAAAGCGTAATAAGCTAATTAGACCGGACGTCCTTCTGGACGAAGCTGGGGCTGCAAGGGAAGCCCCAGTCCCAGGTGCCTGCTGTTGCTGGAGGGAAGCCCGGGCCCTGGGTGCCAGAGGGAAGCCGGTGCCGGCAGCCGGGGCAAAGAAGGCCTATACTCTTGCATGAATTTCGTGCATTGGGTCTCTAGTACAATAATAAAAGATTAATATTTTACATGATAGTATGGCTTCAAATGTTAGCGATATATCAGAAGAAAAAATGTGTTTGCAACTCCAATACAATCAAAAAGTAAAATATTTACTATCATAAACGACAAAGTAAATTTCGCATGAAATTATATTCATTTTAAATTAATACAAAACAATGTTCCATTCCATAAAACAACTTCACCATTCAATCTTTACAATGACATCTTCTGTTATGTTGGGGGATGTTATAGACTCTAAATACTAAAGACTAGTACTATGAATAAAACTTTACTGTAATTACTTTTAGTTCGACTTACATCCTTAAAAATGTCTGTAGTCATACACTTCTGCACAACGTTAACATTAAAAGCACACTATTAATTTTTGAAACATATGGTTGTCTCAAAAGCCCAGAAGTAAAACATGTTCATTAAAGAGATGTGAAAAAATTCCAAGTGAACTGCCAAAACTAGCATAATTATAAAAATATTTAACACTGAAACCATCTGAAATCACATACTGTATATAGATTACAGTGATGTCATAATAAACATTCCAGCCAAAATGCACTAAAAACTACTGCAGTCCAATAAATCTGGCATGCACAAGATGACAAACATTTTAAAGCAAAAGAAAGAACAAGTTATTTTTATTTTTCAAAAATTATTAGTAGCAAAAAAACGGTAAAGAACATAGGCTAAATATGAGTTTTCAAAAAGTTAAGAAAAAGACACAATGAATAAAGCTTCCCTACAAACTACACGTTTTTATTATTCAAAAGAAAAACAAACTAAATAACTTTATTTGCTTAAACAAATTTATAATATACCTGAAATTTCAGTGTACTTTAAAAATAAGCATAAATCATGGCACTCATAAAAATATATACTATGAAACAAACATTACCAAATGTGTAAACACTTCTTTCTCAACTATGGATAGAAAATTATGGTTGCACATACAGTATATTTAGAAAATAATTCTTTTGATAACTTGAACTTGTTTTCATTTCAATTACATTTTGTTTCAATTATAAGTCGGCTTCCATTCAATCCTGACCCAACTAAATTAAATAAAAAATAAAGCAAAACAAGAATTATAATATTTACTATTAAAACAGGAATTACTGCCCTGACCAGCGTGATCCAGCTGTTAGAGCATCAGCCTGTCACCAAAGAGTCTCAGATTCGATTGCTGGTCAAGGACAGGTTGGATCCCTGGCCCTGTTCGGGATATGTGCAGGAGGCAACCAATTAATATATCTCTCTCTCTCTATCTATCTTTCTTTCTTTCCCTCCCTCCTTCCCTCCCTCCCTCCATCCCTCCCACCCTACCTTCCACTCTATCTAAAAAAATAAAAAATAAATCAAAGAAAAAATATCTTGGGGTGAGGATTAGCACCAAAAAACAAAAAAGAAAAATATCTGGAATTACTTCCATCATTAGTTTGAGTTCATCAGCTTTTAACCAGTATACATCATGTTGGACTATTACACATTTTACTTCACTGGAAGGCTCTAATTCTAATAAAAGAAACTCTGTTCTCAAATACACTAGCTAAAATGTTTTGAGATATTTAACCCCAAACACATTACAGTTATGTATTTCTCTTTTTTAATTGTTTTAAATATATTTTTATTCATTTCAGACAGGAAAAGAGAGGAATAGATAGAAACATCAATAATGAGAGAATCACCATCAGCTGCCTCCTGTATGCCCCCTACTGAGGATCGAGCCCACAACCTGGCCAAGAGCCTGACCAGGAATAAAACCATGACCTCCTGGTTCATAAGTTGATGCTCAAACACTGAGCACCACCAGCCGGGCACAATTATATCTTTCTTATTTAGGTGGCAATTTTTCCAAAATGTCCGGTAAACATATTTCATGGCAAAAGAATGTTTTCTCTTGAGGACCACCTAGCTAGTTCTGAAAATACTATCCCTTTGTTCCTCATGAAACAAGCAAGAATGTCATTTCCTTACAAAAGTTCCTAACACAAGAAAAATGTGCCAAACACTGTATGTACATAGATCCATTACTTCCATACTGACAGGTCATGGAATCGTGTAGCATACTTTTCACCTCAGCCCTCATAGGGCTAGTCAATTAAAACTTGAAAACCGTCAACTCCCAGATTCACAATGGTATGAATAAGAATGAGAACAAAACTTAAAACAAGTGAATGAATCATTCCAAGTCCTTGTTTAAAAAAAGAGGTTAAAATGCAAGAAAGAGCTGAAGAAGGAGAAACTGAAAAGTGGAACCAAGAAGTAATATGCTTTATGCTCTTCCACCTTGTGGCACCAAACTTGGCAAGCAAAGGACTAAGTATCACTTGGCAGCTCTAGTCACCAAAAGCTCCTGAAACAGAGTGTAAGGGACTGGGAAATAAACAGTTACAAAGTTCCTAGAAACTTTCACCTCTGTCCTCTCCAGGAACAAGTACAATGTCAATTGTCAGATGCAATAAAGAATGTCTAAGAGTAACACTGTAATTTAGAAAGTCAGAGCCAAATCAAGACACCAAAGCAGAAGCACACACTTGGAGAACACAGGAGAGCCAGGGAGAAACGAGAATCTCTGGTTCACCTCTACCCTGACAGTAATATCAATAAACTTAATTTCAGTCATTTAAAAAATGCCAAGTACATTAAGTGAAGGAGGAATGTGTATGTCCCTCGCTCTTCACACATCAACTTCAGCCACAGAAGCTGCTTCTGTCTTCTCCCCCATCCAGGGTAAGGGTAAGGGTTATGAGAGGCTGGAGAAGAGAGTTGACATTCCCTTGCATTCTTTTACTTAATCTCCCCAAAAGGAGGATTAGCTAACCTGACAGGCCAAAGCTCAACATTCATTAGGCGACATTTTAGCAACGAAAAAGATCACTGTACTAACTAAACCTGTGTGCTGGGGCCGCTCTTCTATCTCTGAGATCCATGCTCCTCAGTAACAGGACCTGAGCCTTTTCCCCAGGGGATACAATCATTAGCCATCTGTCCTCCTGTTCTTTTCACACACAGAGCCACCTGACCCAGATACTGCCCCAGGCAGAGAACAATCAAACTATGCCAGCTAACAGCAACAAGTCAGGGAAAATGTGCTTATTATTGCCTATGGCAGTGGTCGGCAAACTCATTAGTCAACAGAGCCAAATATCAAAAGTACAACGATTGAAATTTCTTTGGAGAGCCAAATTTTTTAAACTTAAACTATATAGGTAGGTACACTGTTATTAACTTAATTAATGATTTTGGATTGAGTACTTAGTATTAACAACATGAGTTCAATACACTAACATATGGAATGCCTATTATGTGTCTAAGGCTGGAGATAACATGACATCCTTCTGGAACTTACATTCTCGTGAGGAAGATCAACTTTAAATAAATAAATAGTCACATCAAATAATTGTAGTTGTCATGAGTGCTAAGGAAGGAAATAAACAGTAAGCAAGAGAAGTTATTTAGCAAGGTTAGGCATTTAAACCCCTCTAAGCAGATAAGTTTCATTTTATAATAATAAAGCCACCAACACAAAATAATTACAATTCTTAAATTGATGACAAAAATACCTGTAGGATTTGCAGCTGGTTGGAAAAATACAGGTAACTTTATGCTTCGAGTAGGTACTTTTGTCACCCACGCGCGATTTGCGGACGCGACTAGCATTAACCACTGCACATGAGACTGCTGACTGGCTCACTCAACTCGTGCATGAATCGCACGCGCCTCCCCCCGTGCTGCGTATCCCATGGCCCACCTGCGCCGCGTCTCCCATCGCCCCACCCACCGACACCCCCCACTTCGGAACCACTTCTTCAAAATAGACTCGCCCAGGATGAAAACCGACTTCTGCGCATGGGCCACGAAGTTTCAATCACACTGTACGTGCGCGCCCGCAGGTGGTATTTTGTGGAAGAGCCACACTCAAGGGGCCAAAGAGCCGCGTGTGGCTCGCGAGCCGTGGTTTGCCGACCACTGGCCTATGGCCTACCTTTTCTTCCTATCAATAGGTGAGCATCACAGTGCCAACCTCTCCTCCTCCCCTTTATTTAAACAAGTGAATTAAAGTGGTTAAATCCACTCTTAGATTTGGAAGGTGAAATAGGCCAAAATTAAAGGAGAAAAGAACAAAAGTATATTCTGGCCTAAATCACATTCTACCATCTAATTTTTAGCACAATTCACAAGGCGGAATTGGGTGCTTAAACAGAATAAAACTGTACTTTGTTTTCTTATATATATAACTTCCCTCAGCAAGGAATACCTAGTCAAAGAAAAATATGTTAGGCAGTTTGAGAAAAAATAGGTAGGTAGTACCCTTATCTAGGTATTTTACTTACCTACTTAAGAAATAATACTTATATGCATAAAAGATTAAGAATAATTTAAGTTAGTCAGCAACGACCTTTATTGAGCACTTATCTGTGCCAGGCCTTAGTATTTGAAGGATGAGAAAATTAGAGCTGAAGATGTTCCAAGGCCAGAAAGACAGGAAGTGAGAGAGCTGGGATGAATGCCCAGATCTGTCTGACCAAAAAGCCCTTCCTTTAATCACTAAACTTGAAAGAAAGACAGGAAAGCAGGGAGAAAGTGAAGGGAAGAAGAAAGGCAGGAAGGGAGAAAAAAGAGATAAAAGGAACAAATTGTTTTATTTATGGCACTTCCAACATGTCACCTACTGGTAATAATCACATTACATTCATATGTCTTAATCCTCTTAACAATGCTATGAATTAGACACTACTCCCTGTGCAAAAGTATCCCTATTTAAAGATAAGGAAACTAAGGCATGATGAGATTAATAGTTCAAAATCACACTGCTATTAAATGGCATAATTCTAACCACGTTTCTCTATTATCATCCCTATGAGAAAAGGCCAAGAAAACAGTACAGTAAATACTAAGTACCATATATACTAAGAAGTCATGAAAGTGTCTCAAAAAAAAAGGTTTGAAAAGACTGTGCCCTACAGAAAAAAAGAAAAAAGGTGGAAGGCTTGAACAAAAAAAGGTAAAAAGGAAGAAAGCATGTATCTTATAGAAAAGAGAATAAGTAGTGCAATTTAAGTAAAACAGAGAGCAATGAAATATTAAGCTGTAGAAAGAAGCTAGAGTAAATGGTCTCTACCATGAATATCAATCCAAGAAATTTAAGCTTTACATATTGGCGATCAAATAAAAGTTAACACTGGGAATTTAAGAAAATGAAGTACTTCATTCAGGACAAAGAACCTTCTGGTTATGTGACAGAAAGCAACAGCAGAGATCCCAACAATTGATAGACTATAAAAGTTTAGAAATTAAATGATGAGGGAAGCAGCTATGATAATTTTTTTAAATGCTAGCACCTGAAATTCAACATGTTCAAAACAAAACTCAAATTATGCAACGTACTGTTCCTTTCCCCTTACTCCCAACCGCCCCCCCCCAAAAAAAAATCCTCTGTCCTTTACATCCTAATTCAGTCAATGATACAACCATCTTCTCAGTCTCCTAAGAAAATAAAACACACTAACTTTGCAAAACAATGCTAAGGAGCTTTAAAAATGTCAAGGTAGAAAGAAAGATGCTTGACCATGAATTGTATAGGATGACTGTTCTCTAAGTTTCAAACTACCCAGGAAATAACCAAATAATTTTTTTAATGTAAATTTTAAGGTACAATAGTGGATTCAATTTTAGATACGTGGTGTTTCTGGTGAAGATACATCACACCAATAGATATGTCCACGAGGGAACTGAACATGTACTGGGAAAGACTGAAACAGCAATCAGAGTTAGATAAAAATTCAGGACTCATCAAAATAGAAGTGATAGTTGAAGTTACTAGATTTCCAGTAAGAAGAAATTTAAGGATTTATGCTTCTAAAAATACAACAGACTAGATAATTGGAAACATTGTTGTGGAATGCTAAAATAAAATCAAAGGAAAATTTTAGCTAGGCTCAAAGCAGTGAGTCAGACTGAAGAAAAATACAGGTATGCTCAAGGTACAAAAGCTGGAAGAGACAGGTGAGAAATAAAGAAGACTCCAAATGAAACCGAGAAACTTTGATTAAATTTAGCTTTAAATCCTAGCTCTAGAAATGAGAGAAGAATCTTTTCCCCAGGTAATAATATAAATATAAATAATAATATAAATATACTGTCCACACTAAAAATGTCAACTCCTCAACATAAATGTCTAAAGGCTCTCTAAATTTTTAGTAACCACTAACATCCAAATAATCTTAGCAATACTTTTGAAGTGCATTAAAGAGGAGGAAGTCGTCCTAACTGGTTTGGCTCAGTGGATAGACCGTTGGCCTGCAGACTGAAGGGTCTCAGGTTCGATTCCGGTCAAGGGCATGTACCGTGGTTGCGGGCACATCCCCAGTGGGGGGTGTGCAGGAGGCAGCTGATCGATGTTTCTCTCTCATTGCTATTTCTAACTCTCTAGCCCTCTCCCTTCCTCTCTGTAAAAAATCAATAAAATATATTAAAAAAAAAAAAGAGGAGGAAATCTACTAATGTTGGTAGAATTAAATTAAACTTTACAAATTAGACATGCCTTCTTATCAAGGCATTTAGCAATATTATATTTCTGCAATGATCTTTTCTGGATGAAACCTCAGATTTATAATAGTTAAATTGTATCTTATTACATTTTCACATATTAATAATATTACTTTAACAAATTAATATCTATAACTCTAAAAGGCCCCTTCATTTAACCTACCACCCTACACTAATTTTATTTAGAAAATAAGTCTTTTCTTCATTGTGATCCTACAACATAATAACTTCAAATAATTACAATTATTCAGTTTATTAGTACATGAATAATTTTTAATTTAATTTCCCACTTTACTAATCAAGGCTCCAAATAGGAAAATAAACTGTTTAAAAATGTGTTTCATCTATAATGTTTTCACTAAAAAATTAATTCGAATCACTAGCATAAACCCAAGTAACACTCTCCAGGGGTGTACACTGCTGAATATTTTGTCCAAATGTCAGCCGCAATTCTCACAAATCCTTTCTACCTCAAAATTTTAAACATCTGTAAAAAATACTTGTTGTGAGAGTGGTTTACAATCATGACCCTTTGACCTTTTGCTATGCACACCACAAAATTCAAGTCTCAAATGCCATGCAAGCAGGAAATCTGGATCATTCCTGCAGTAGCCATCTGCATGGTCCAATATCAAATATTAGTTCGAGGTGGCACTAAGTCATGTGTTACAAATCTTTTTCTGCAGCCTCGATAATTAGTTGTAATTTGCCTTTTCTAAAATGTGTTTCTTATGGGACATCTGGCCTTGAAAACTCCACCTACCCGTTGAAAAAATACTTAGTGTCTGGATTTTTTTTTCTCATAATATGAAGCACTGTATGGGTGCCATAACTAAGTCCAGACATTTTTTTAAAAATTAAATTCCAAGGACAGATGATGACTAAGAACCATTTAAGTATTACCAAATAAAAATGTAAAATAAACTTTGTTGCAATATAACTATCTACAGATTTCTAAACCAATCTCTCAAATATTTAAAGTTCACAAAATAAATTTTCAAAGGAATATATAGCACTGGTCTACTTACTTCAAGAAACTACATTGGTAAGTTAAATTGGATAATACAGGTTTGAATCAAAGATTTCATAAAAGGAAAAAAAAAAATGATTTCAGCCCCATTGGTTGATATGACACTCAAAGATTGTACTTAAATTAGGAAATGATTTTAATAATTCATAATTAACCTCAACTAACTTCAAGAGATTTAAGTTATATTTAGGATACACTAAAATTGCCTTAAGTTCTCTTCAATTTATTTGGTTACAAAAAGCCTTCCCTAAAAATGAAAGGTAAATGTGGATTAAGGAAAAAGTAGTAAAAATGAATGACAGAGACACTGCTTTTCTGCAAGATGAAAGGGAAAAAATGTATCACAATTATGCTGCTTTCCAGATCTATTTGCTTCCTAGACCAGAACATTTTTGGTAAAACTCCTTAAAATCAATACTACACTTTTATAATAAAACACTAAAAAGAAATGTAAGATGGGTTAAAGAATACATAAGTCAGAAAAGGCCCGGCTGATGTGGCTCAGTGGTTGAGCATTGACCCATGAACCAGGAGATCACGGTTCGATTCCCGGTCAGGGCACGTTGCCTGGGTTGTAGGCTCGATCCCCAGTAAGGGGCATGCAGGAAGCAGCCAATCAATAATTATCTCTCATCACTGATGTTTCTATCCCTCTCTCCCTTCCTCTCTCTGAAATCAATTTTTTTTAAAAGTCAGAAAAGAATCAGTTTCTGATGACAAAACCTCAGACAACAATGAAATTTGGTAAATAAAGGCAAATTCAATATATTTTTATCTTCTCAAAAATAACGAGATTTTCACCTCATTTAGAAATGTCACATAAATAAAAAGCCATGCAGTTACTATGCAAAAATTCAAAAACTGGACACAATCAGACTTCACTTCTAGTGGATATAGGTAATAGCAATCTACATGATCCCTATTAGGGCTATGATCAGATTAAGTGAAATTACTATGAAAATATCCCTTGGGGTATTTTACCCAAATTTAAAACATCCTTTTACAATTAATTATGTTACTTAACAGGCATATAAAAATAATAAGTATATAAGCTAACATTTATTTATGTAAAAGTTGACATATCCCAAAAGTTAAAGAAATATTCAAACACTAGTAACTAGAAAATTGGTTAACATAAACAAACAATAATTTCATACCTGCATTCCATCTTTAAGTTTCAAAATGCATTCCATTGTGTTAATGGTGATTACCACTGGTTCCGAGCCCAGTTTTGTCCACGGTACGTGGATCCTCAGTTCGTGAATATGTCCACTTAAAAAAGTGAATGGTAATTTCAATTCCTTAAGACACAAAATATTAAATAAGTTAGTAAGTGCTTAATGTATTTTCATTCTAATATTCAAATTACTCTCTTAAAATAAAATGAAACTTCCAACACAAAAATAGTTTGGCAATTATTGTTTATCAAAAAGTAGCATCAGTAACTTATTAAACTACAAAAACCAATTATGCAAGTTACACTTAACAAACTACTGAACCTGTCTAGGCCTGAGTTTCTTTATTCTGATGAATGGAAATAATATACGTATAATACCTAGTACATGATAAAGGCTCATATATGGTAGTGGGGGGGGGGGGAGGGGGGACACAGTAGTCACCCTAGTAGACAGCAGCAGTACTTGAGATAACTGCAATGGTATATATTATTTAAAATCTCCACCTAAAAATACGTTCCCAAGTGTGTTATAAACTACAAGTAGCATTATATGGCAAGTTGAAAGGGGAGCTGAAATAGAGAAAGGAGAATGACATGACAAAATAAAAGTTGACCAACTTTAACAAAAAACTTACTGAACTTTACTTAAAGATTGTACCTGGATACTATATGGTCCATAAATTTAAAATGTTTTTCTAACACGTTTCCATTATTATTGGATAGAGAGTTAAAAATGAAAACATAACTGTCACTCAATCACTTTATACTAATTTGTTTCACCTCCCAATAAAATTTTTGTTAAAAATCAACAAAGGAAGAAAAAAAATTATTTAGATTGTACTTCAACAACATTTTTACAGTTCTTGTAATTCTATTAATGAAAGTTAAAATAAACATTATTACGCTTATTCATTCATCCAACAATTGCTCACCTACTTGGTTTAGCAAGATAGCTAGTAAAATAGCTAAATAGTTTTTTTTATTTAGTTCTCAGAACATGGGTAAAGATCTTTAATAAATTTAAAAAAAATAGCTAAATATATATAGGTAGTAGGTAAACTGGTTAAGACAAATAACTCTGGAGCCAGCAACACGGATTTAAATCTTACTCTTCTATTTAATCATCCCAATGACAGTAAGCAACTTGTTTAATGTATCTGTGACTCAGTTTCTTATCTGTAAAATCTGGATAAGAATAGTAGTATCTTTGAGGATTAAACTAATTAATTTGTATAAAGTAATTAGAATACTGTCTTCCTAAAAGAGCAATCATTATTTTTTATTATTATTGATTTCAGAGAGGAAGGAAGAGGGAGAAAGAAATAGCAATGATGAGAGAGAATCACTGATTGGTTGACTCCTGCACATCCCCACCACTGGGGATTCGAGCAGGCAATCAAGCATGTGCCCTAACCAGCAACAGAACTGTGACCTGGTTCAGAGACTGACACTCAACCACTGAGCCATGCCTTTTTTAAAGGGCAGAATATTAATCATCTATTTCTAGTATTCTAATCAATTGTCAAAATTTTACATATTTCTCATTATTACATTAATTTTTAAGCTGAAATAATTTCAAGCATTAATCAACTGGCAGATTAAATTTTGTTTTGTGTCCATAACAAAAACAAGGTTTACTGAGTATTATTCTGTATCAGGCTCCGTTCTAAGAACTTTACCTGCATGCAACTATTTAATCCTTGTAAGAACCCCAAAAGGTAAATACAAATGAAGACTATGAGGCATGGAAAGGTCAAGTAACTTCCCTGGTTTATCTAGGAAAGCAGGACACAAAACTTGAAAATCTGATGCCAAGCCTTGCTCTTAACCACAATCATACTACCTCTACACTCCCATTATGAGCACTGAATGCCTTTCCAAATACATGTGTATGGACAATGAGTCAATAACATTTCCACCTCTACCATTCCCTGATTTGTGTAACAACGATACAGTTGTGAAATGGCTACCAAAGTTGCAGTCTAAGGGCCAAACTGAATTTTCTCAGAGAATTAAAAGATACCTGAACCCTTGGGTGAGGATTAACAAGCAAAAAGAGTTAAAGGAAAAAATTGATAAACTGGACTCAATAAAATGAACTCTATTCATCAAAACACACTTTTAAGAGAGCAAAAAGACATGCCACACACTGGGAGAAGATACTGCAAAACATGTACATGCCAAAAGACTCATTTCCAAAATATATAACGAACTACTATACATCAATAAGAAGACAGAAAACACAATTTTTTAAAAAAGGCAAAAGAGCCGAAGCCAGTTTGGCTCAGTGGATAGAGCGTTGGCCTTCGGACTGAGGGGTCCCAGGTTCGATTTCGGTCAAGGGCATGTGCCTGGGTTGCGGGCACATCCCCGGTGGGAGATGTGCAGGAGGCAGCTGATTGATGTTTCTCTCTCATCGATGTTTCTGGCTCTCTGTCTCTCTCCCTTCCTCTCTGTGAGAAATCAATAAAATATATTTAAAAAAAAAAAAAGGCAAAAGAATCAGAAACTTTACAAAAGAGAATATCCAAATAGCCAATGAACAACACTAAAAGTGATCAACGCCATAAATCATTATGAAATGCAATTTTAAATGAAATACTACTTACACCCACCAAAAAGTTTAAAATTAAAATACTAAGATGGTGTCATAGATAAACATATCCTCCCACAACCACATCAAAATTACAACTACACTACAAAGGAAACCATCATTCAGAATTGCCTGAAAGCTAACTGAACAGAAGTCCTACAACTAGGGATTTAAAGAGGAAAACAAATCAAGACTGGTAGGAGGGGAGAAGACACAGAGGGCTGGCCCCACACCCATGTGTGGTAGATAAAAATTAGAACGAGTATCTCCACTGTGGAGATCACCCCTGAGGAGCAAGGGGTCCCAGCCCCACACCATGCCCCCCAGCTCAGGGTTCCAGTGCCAGGAAGAGAAGTACCCAGACCTCTGGCTGTAAAAACCAACAGGGATTGTGCCTGAGTGAGGCGCAGGGCTGCTGGAGTCACAGGCAGTTCCTCTTAAAGGGCTCGCACAGGAACTTACTTGGACTCACTCCCTCTGAGCTCCGGCATTTGGGCAGCAGGTTGAAAGGAACCATGGACAAATGGGGAGGAAATGAATTGTCTGGCATCAGGGCCAGAGCTGGAGAGCAGCCAAACAGAAGTTCTAGCAGAACCCATTGTTCCTTTTCTGAGGACCCCACCTCCACCACAGAGCTAGAAAATGGGCACTGCATCTCAGTCTCCATCAACCTGGCTCATGTTCACCCCACCCTAGTGATTCCCTGAGACCCCACTCAACTTGCAGGCCAACCCAAGCTGTTTTCATTGGCTTACCCAGTAGTTCTCAACCTTCTGGCCCTTTAAATACAGTTCCCCATGTTGTGACCCAACCATAAAATTATTTTCGTTGCTACTTCATAACTGTAATGTTGCTACTGTTATGAATCGTAATGTAAATATCTGATATGCAGGATGGTCTTAGGCGACCCCTGTGAAAGGGTCGTTCGACTGCCAAAGGAGTCGCAACCCACAGGTTGAGAACCGCTGGGCTTACCCATATAAATGGCTTTTTGCTCATGTTTTAGACTTTCCTAAAATCTCTCAAACAAGCACCATCTGGCCCTGGTGTGCTCCATACCTCTAAGTGACCCCAAGCCCAACACTAACAGCAGCTGGCATTGGTTCACAGCTTAGTCTCACCTGGGCACTTCCAAGCCAAGCACAAGTAGCAACCATCTACAGATCATTTTGTAACTCATGCCAGGTGGCCCCAGGCAAAATACAGGCAGCTGCTAACCTTGGTCTACACCTCCAGGGAGGCCCCAGAGCCAGCACACCACTGGACAGCTTCAGACCAAGTCCAAGCACCACCCAACCACCTCCACAATAAACTCACTCAGCTGGCACCAGAGCCCCACTGAAAGAAGTCCTGCTCTGTGGGTTGGGCCCCTGCACAAGAAACCCTCCATGGTAGGTGGTCATTGCAAACAGTCCTTGCAGCTGATCAGTCTGGGATCATACCTGGAGTGCCCAGCTCAGGTTATTGGGGAGGCTGTGCCACTGGACCCTACAGAACAACTACTACATAGAGCCACTCTACCAAGCCCAAGAGCTTCAGCAGAAACAAACACAAGGAGGCTGCCAAAATGAGAAGACAACGAAACATGTATGCATCATCCTGTGGAAGTTGAGCTTTGATTGCCATTGGCATATCAATGTAAGGTATTTATCCCCAGTAAGCACAGAGTCTCAAACAAGATGAACCCAAAGAGGCCCACACCAAGACATCATAAATAAAATGAGAAGGTTAAAGACAGAGAATCTTAAAAGCATCAAGAGCAATGCAGTCAGTTACCTAAGCGGGAGCTCCCATAAGACTGTCAGCTGATTTCTCAACACAAACTTTGCAGGCCAGAAGAGATTAGCAAGAAATATTCAGAATGATGAAAAGCAAAGGCCTACAACCAACATTAGTCTACCCACCAAAGCTATCATTTAGAATCATAAGACATATAAAGAACTTCCCAGACAAGGAAAAGCTAAAGGAGTTCATCACTACCAAACCAGTATTACATGAAATGTTAAAGGGTCTTCTTTAAGAAGAAGAGGACTTGGCCAAGCCAAGCAGCTCAGTTGGTCAGAGTATCATCCCAATACGCCAAGGTTCGATCCTGCTTAGGGCACATACAGGAGTCAACCAATGAATGCATAGATAAATGGAACAGCAAATGTCTCTCTCTCTCTCCCTCTTCCCCCTCTCTCTAAAATCAATAAATAAAGGGGGGGAGATCAAAAATATGAACAATAAAATGGCAATAAATACATATCTGTCAACAAATGAATCTAAAAAAATAAACTAAGAAGCAGAACAGAAACAGACTCATTGATACACAGAATATTTTGACAGTTGCCAGATGGGAAGGAGGCTGGAGGGATGGGTGAAAAAGGTGAAGGGATTAAGAAGTACATATTGGTTGTTACAGAATAGTCAAGGGGATGTAAAGCGCAGCAGAGGGAATATAGAGTCAATAGTATTCTAATAACTGTGCATGGTGTCAGATGGGTACGAGCTTTATCAGCATGATCAATTAGTAAGTTATATAATGTCTAATCACTGGGGTGTACACCTGAAACTAATATATCATTGTATGTCAACTGCAACTGACAAATAGAAAATGATTAAAGCCAAAAAATAAAAGTAAATAAAAAATACCAGCCGAAACCGGTTTGGCTCAGTGGATGGAGCGTCGGCCTGCGGACTGAAGGGTCCCGAGTTCGATTCCGGTCAAGGGCATGTGCTTGGGTTGCGGGCACATCCCCAGTAGGAGATAAGCAGGAGGCAGCTGATCGATGTTTCTCTCTCATCGATGTTTCTGTCATTGTATGTCAACTACAACTGACAAATAGAAAATGATTAAAGCCAAAAAATAAAAGTAAATAAAAAATACCAAACATCAAATAATAATAATAAAACCGTGAGCAACTGGGAGCCCTCATGCATTGTTGCTGAGAATGTAAACTGTTACAACCACTCCACAAAACTATTTGGCAATATCCATTAAAACTTAACTTCAGACTACCTCCCAGATACACACTTAAGGAAAATTAATACTTATGTTCACCAAAATACAGGTACAAGAGCTTTGTTCATCAGAGCTTTCTTCGCAATAGTCAAAAGCAGAAGTAAATTGTGAATCTTTATACAACTGAATACTACAAGGCAATACAAAGAACAAGCTACCACTCATGCAAAAATATGAGTTAATCTTAGCTATAATGTTTGGACCCTTCCATTCCCCAAAGGGCGAATGGGAATGTATTGTTTTCTAGCATCACACAAAACCTAGCCATGTAAATTAGCATGTTCCATAAGGCCTGAGAATTGAGTAAATAAGCTGAGCAATTCTAACAGGAACAATGACATTGTTTTCCTATTTGATGAGGCAACTTTTGGAGATCTGACTCTAACAAACCATCACTAACGATACAGCATAAAAATATATATATATGTGTATATATATATATGCATGTATATATATATAGTAAAGGAAGGTATCTAGTTTCAGGGTAGCCAAAACTAGTTTAACAGAAAAAAAAATTCATTTTTAAAACATAAAGTCAAAGTGTAGGGAACAACGGGTTACTTCTAAACAATTAAAACATAAAGTCAAAGTGTAGGGAACAACGGGTTACTTCTAAACAAGCTGCAAATGTGTCCAGTAAATGACAACTACGCAGTTTACCTGTTCCAGCACATCCAACTTTAACTCGAGCTTGCTGAGCACCACATCTCCGCCCCATAGTGAAAGCTGCAGGTCTGACGGCTTCAAGTTCTTGATGTAGCGATTCACATAGCTCATCAAAATCGGAGTCACATAGGACTCCAGCATCGTTTAAGGTGCAGAGAAGTCAACGTCAGAAGCTGGAGGGGGTCAAGACAGAAATATTAGAAGTCACTGAGTCTGTGGTGCAACGAAGGGAAAAAAATAAAAATAAAAATAAAGGCACTTTTCGGGAGGGGTAGAAGAGGCCGAAAAGCAACAGTCCCCACCAAAGCGGCCGCTCGCCTCCTCCCAGCAGCAGAAACAAAACTCTAATTAGACTCTGCCTGCCGAGGAGCGGGAGGAGAGGTGGTGACCTGAAGACACCGACTCCCCTGGAAGAGAATGAAGTGCAGCGGGGCCCCCTCCGGCCGCTGCACCCCTTCACCAGCCCGGCGCCCCCGCAAGGCCGGCGCCTCCCAGAACCCGCCGCAGAACCAGGGCCATAAGGAAACCGGCGCCCGCCCCCCCGCCCCACTGCACCCTCGGCGGACACTCACGCCGGAGAGAACCGTGGCATCCCTTCCACCTCCCGGCACCTCAAACCCCGCCCGGCGGGAGGCCGCTCCTGCGCGGCGCCACTTCCGGGTGTGCCGTCCTCGGTGCTCAAAACAAACTGTCCCTCCACCGCCACCACGCGACTCCGCGGCGGGACCGGAGTTCCCGGGCGGGGCCAGCCACTCAGCGCGTCCTGTGGAGGGAAACTTCCTGCGCTCGGCTGGCCGACGTACCCGCTCCGACGCCGCCGGCGGTCAGGACCTGGCTTGCGGAAGTGCCGGGGGCAGGTGGGCGGACCGGAAAAGGGGAGACACCCGGGACCCGGAAGTGGCGCTCCGCGGGGAGAGTGGCCGCAGGTGGAGGAGATCCGGCGGGGTGTTGGAACGCGGAGTGCCGGAGGGCCGAAGAGCCGCAGATCCGAATATCCGAGGAGGAAGAAAACGGGCCCCGGTGTTCCAAACCCTGAAGAACAAGTGGTGGTTGTTTCTCTCGGGAAATGGAAGGCCTGGGAAGAGGAACTGGGATTCAGTGGGCAGGACTCGAAGGCCGTAGGTTGGAGAAGCGGTGGCGGGGGAAGTAAACGTAGACCCGAGCTTCATTTGCTGCGGGGGGTAAAAGGTGGGTATGGAGAGAGAAAGCGAAGGACTGGTGAAGGGGTGCAACCTAAGGGGATGCGTTTTGTAAACGAGCTGTGACGAGGCGTCACCAGGCTTGTGCTGCGGGGCCCAGAAGGCATGGTCCGAGGAAACCCTGGAGAGCATTGGGTTGCAGTCTGACTCGGGACTTCAGGAAAGGGGCGGAAATACCAGAGGAAGAAGGAAATGCGAGGCTTACTAATAGATGCACAGTGAAAAGAAATAGCAGATGAGGAGTTAATTCGGGGTTTTTAAGAGTCGGTGTTAGTTCTTAGGAGGCTGACAAGAATGTATAAAATATTTCCTTCTGGTACCCTGCAAGCTAACAAAGTCAAGCAACTCAAGCGCTAACTTGGAAAAATACACACGGAGCTTACAGGATAGCACAGGGCATGTGACCAACGTTTTTTTTTGACCAGTGTCACTTATTTTTGGTAACCACTGAAGAAAACCCCTACCGCTGCATTTTGAAAATAGACAACTTGTAAAATTATTAAAATGCCCGCCCATGTTGTCCTTGCATTTAATTGTAAGTACTTAATAAAGTAAATCCCTAAAAGCTCTTGACAGGAATTCAAGTTAGGATTTCTTGAGTTTTAAAAACTACAATAGAAAATAAGCACAAGCGAGGATGCCAAGGTGTTTGGATTTATTATTTTTTTAATGAAAATAATGAACTAAGTTTAAAATAAAAATGACGGCAGCTAATTGCTAATTCAGAGCAACTGTCCCCTCACAAAAAGCCTTGAAGAATAACCCAAGTAATTTGGGTCTTAACTAAAAACCCACTAAATTAGGCAAATATTTTAGCTAAGTAATTTCTTAGTTACCTGCCTCACCTGCAAAGGAACAGATTGAAGCCATGACTAAAATACCACGTGCGGGCGCGCATGTACAGTGCGATTGAAACTTCGTGGCCCATGTGCCAAAGTCGGTATTTTGTGGAAGAGCCACACTCAAGGGGCCAAAGAGCCGCATGTGGCTCGTGAGCCGCAGTTTGCCGACCACTGATCTAAGAGATGGTGATATTTCATTTTGTTCAGTTTTTTACTGAACAAAATGATGGCGTTGCAACTTTTAAGCTACTTACATACTGTACCAGAAACCAAAAGTCACAGGTGAAGCTTTTAAATACTTGAGTGGTATTTAAAAGTTTGAATAAAGTAGAGAAAGGCTCCTTTACTGTTTAGTTTTCTATTTTATTTAGTGTATGTATGAGATCTTCAAGAACTTGTATCCATGGCACACCTTATATATTATATGATAATAGGTTGTGCGGCAGTTACTAATTTTAACAGTTATTCAATAAATCTGTTCACTTTCCTACGTGTGCACATGACTAGATTATTATTAGAGCTCTCTTACAGTCAGGTGTTGTCAAGTAACTGAGTTCTGAGCATTTGAATTGGGTTGAGGTAATGTAGCTACAGGGCTGGCTCATAAAAGTCCTCCACATAACAGTTTATTCTTTCTCCCTCACCAAATTAGATAAGATGCAACACATATTTAATACCTTAATCAATAAAGGAAGATTTAAAAAAAAAAAGATGCAACAGAGAAACCCAATGTCCAAGTGATGCCAAGGAGAAAAAGAATGGGAGAGTGAATCTGTGAACCGTTGCCTAGAGGTACACAAACTGCTAATTGGTCACATTCATTAGAATTTTGCATGATTGAAAAATCAAGTAATGTTTACCTCCTGGGATTTGAGGGTTTAACTGTCGTAGCAGGAATTGTTACATTAAGTAACACATAAGTAAATAGATAATAGACATTAGCTGAAATTAATCCATTCAACTTTTTTACTTCAGGAACATGAGAATTGAAGTTAATTTACTTATGAAATTATCATTGTTTAATTCAACTTTAAAATACACTTACTTAGACAATCACTGAGTTACTCATTGAATATTTATTACATGTTATTACACCTTGTTCCTTTTGTAACACAAATATGGCACGATAAGGAAGCTCAGACATGGAAAGATTAAGTGAACTACCTATGGTCACAGCCTATCAACCCAACTCGTATGACTTCAAGTCTCAATTTCTTCCCTTTTGAGAAGGAACAAAAGAAACATAAAGTAAAAATCTGTTAATTACTATAATAATAGAACAACAAAGGACTTTTTCTGGGTTTAGAGTAATACACATTAAGTAGCTGCACAAAACACTTCTGACTAGCCTCCTAAAGAATTACAGCACATAAAATTTTTATTATAGCCTCAGAGATAACTATACACAAGTATCTGTGCAAGTCAAATAGGTGTTATCACACTATGACAGCTGGGCACAGTGTGTAGTTCATAAGAAGTTCAATTGGTAGAAAATAATAATCATGGTTGCTTCAAGTTATTGAAATATATTAGTTTGGTATATAACAATGAGAAAAAATAACAGAATAACATTATATGTGTAGTATATATACTATAGTGTATACAGATAGTATATGGTATTTATATATAGTATATGTACAATATGTAGGATATATATGTGCATATCTATATCAAATGCGAATTCTGGAGCTAGAAAAGTAAATAGCTAGAATTAAAAATTCACTAGAGAGCTTCAAGAGCATACATGAACAGGCAGAAAAAGGATCAGCAAACTTGAAGTTAGGAAAATAAATTATCCAGTCTTTGGAGCAGAAAGGAAAAATAATGGGGGGGGAGACAACTTGTGGGACAGAATTAAATATCACATCATTGTGGGAGTCTCAGAAAAAAAGGGAGAGAGAGAATGGGGCAGGAAGAATATTTGAAGAAATAAAGGCTTCAAACATCCCAAATTAGACAAAAGAGTTGAATCTACACATCTAAGAAGCTCAACAAACTACAAGTAAGATAAACTCAAAGAGATTCTCACCAGAATACATTGTAATAAAACTGTCAAATATCAAAGAAAGACTGAGCAAGCAACAAGAGAAAAATGATTTAACATGTACAAGGGCTCCTCTATTAACAACCTATTTCTCATCAGAAACCATAGAAACCAGAAAGCAATGGGACAACATATTTAAAGTGCTGAAAGGAAAATAAATTATCAACTAATAATTCTACATCTGGCAAAACTAATCTTTAAAAATAAAGGAGGAATAAAGACATTTTCAGAAAACAAAAGCTAGGGAGTTTGTTGCTATAAAACCAACCCTATGAGAAATGCTAAAGGTACTCCTTCAGATTGTAATGAAGGGACACTACCCAATAACTCAAGGCCATCTGAAGAAAGAAAGAATGCCAGTAGAGGTAGCTACATAGGTAAAGGAAACAGCTAGTTAGGTATTATGGTATTTTGGGCTTATAATTTATCTTTGATTCTTTAATGATTTCAAAGACAAATGCATAAAATTATAACTATAGGTTATAGAGTAACGATGTATAAAGGTAATTTCTTACAATAACATAAAACAGAGACACAAAGCTGTATAGTAGCAGCATTTCTGTATGCCATTGAAGTTGTTTGTGTCTACTGAAACTAGATTGTTCTAAATATAAGATGTTAATTGTAATTTCCAGAATAACTACTAAGAAAATAAAAATATACCAAAAATGAAATGGAAAGGAATTAAAATATACACTAGAAAAAGAAATTAAACACAGAGCAGTATTAGAATTGAGAAAAATATATAAGACATTTAAAAAAAAAGCGAAATGACTAAAGTAAGTTCATCTTAATCAGTAGCCATCATAAAAGTAAATGAATTAAATTCACAAATTAAAAGACAAAGATTGTCAAAATAGGTTAAAAAACATGCTCCAACTATATGCTGTTTATAACAGATTCACTTAGATTCGCAGACACAAAAGGTTGAAAATGAAAAGATGAAAAAAAATATTCCATGCAAATGGAACATACTAATAGACATTAGTGGCTATACTAATAGATTTTACTAGTAAGTCAGAAATTATTACAAGAGACAAATGCGGACATTATAATCTGTTTCTAATCAATTGCTTTCTTCATTTCATTTAGCTCTTTTTCTGGAGATTCCTCACATTCTTTCATTTGGGGCCTGTTTCTTTGTTTCCCTATTTTTGCTGTTTCTTTGTGTTTGTTTCTGTATATTGGAGAGGATTGCTAAGACTCCCAGTCAGTGGGGTGGCCTTCTGTAGTGGGTGTCTTGTGAGACCCAGCGGTGTAGTCTCCTTGATCTTCTGAGCTGGGTACTCTAGGAATGCCCTTGTGTGGGTTATATCTGCCCTCCTGTTATAATTGGGTCTTGATATTTGTTGCCCCATTTGTGGGTGGGCTCAGCCCTCAGTGTGGCTGCCTTGAGGCTCTAACCTGACCACATCATGCGAACTGTTATACAGATGCTGACAGAACAAGACCAAACTGAAAACAACACACAAAGAGAAACAAACCAACAACAAAAAGAATCAGAAAAAATGAATACTAAAAGACCAAGAGAATTAGAGAAGAAAAGAAACCAAAAAAAGAGGTTATGAAAGAATAGAAAAAGTAAAAGAATAAGAATAAAAAAAGAATAAATGTTATAACAGTGA